GGGGAATTAAGAAGATGGCGCGCTGATTATCCTCTTAATTTCTCCTCTTTCTTTTGTTCTCCCATTTCTCTCTTGTGAGATTGTCTTACTTGAGAGGTTGAGGGAGGTTGATCGCTTTGGATGGCAGGCTCCTTTTGATCAGATTTGGGGGAGGTGTGGTCACGCTGATTTTTGTTTTCTCTTAATTTCTTGCCCATGTAAATCCCACGAACATGGAAAGAAAAGTCGACTGACGCAGAGCCCAGCATGCGCCGGCTTTATTGTTTATAACAATTTGCCAAGTTTGGTAAAAGTGTTCCAAGACTGTAAACTAATTTAAAATATATCTAGTTAAAATATTTATTTAAAAAATATACAAGTACCAGAGCTGGGTATGATTTGAATAACATAGGATTCTAATCCCAGGAATCGAATCCTTTTTGAGGATCCGAGCGCCAAAAAAATCCTAAAGGATTCGTATTCCAATTATCAATATTAGTCTCGGATCCTTTTAGAGACCAAACTACGCCGCCGCGAACGTCTGACTCAAGCTTTGACATTGACATGTCGCGAAGTTAAACTAAGACAGACTCGGTCATAAAATCGTAAATATTTATAAGATAAACGTAATAATCTACAAAGTATCATTAAATATCCAACATTATAAAATTTGTCTGGTGCAGTCGGATAATTATTTTCGTTTGTAGGTATAACCGACGCACTTCGAAGGAACGGCCTGGCCTTGTAGATAAAACTTTGAAATTTTAGTGCTATATAAGGCCCAACCAAAACACATTTTTTCAAAACTCTATTTTTTTTAATTTTAATTTATTGTTTGTTTAATATTTTGTTTTGTGTGTTAAAAAAAAATATATGTTTTTGACAACGCAAAAGATGAACTGTAATTTAAATTTTTTAAAGTGATATTAGAAATATGTATAAAGACAAGGACTGACAAAACTTCAAGTTAACATGGAATTTATTTGTCTCTAATTACGTTGTCACTATTAGTGGCTGACTTTATAGAAATTTGCAATATCTCTCTAATATTAGATTCGAAAGCATACATAAATAATACCATAATATGACACTGACAGTGATTGGTGATCCGAAAAAATTAATTCGAATCACTTGATTCGAATCCTTTTTTTGTAAAAAGGATTTGGACTTGGGATTCGTGATTCGAATCTATTTTTTTGAGGATTCGTCCCAGCTCTGATAGGTATCTATATTATTATTAATCTTAATTGCAACGATTGATTTCATAGTACCTATCTCATAGTTTTTATTTTTGTTTTTATATTGTCTATAATATCTATATTGTCTTCTTAATTTAACTATTTTATAATGTCAAGTTTATCCTAATTTAAATAAATATTATCACGAATTAATATTTCCAAAACGCTTTAGCAGATCTCAATGACTTTTTGACAATTTTCTAATACATTATATTAACAGCATCGTCATATTCCAGGCAGCAGACTGACGATATTTTGACGACATTTTTTGGTAATTCTTGGTCATCAACGTCATGTTACCAAAAAATGGGGTGATTATGACGTCACTTTTTTGACGTCACAAATTTGACGTCAGTGTGACGTCAATTTATTGTCACTATTAAATTAAGGTTTATATTAAACGTGATTTCAATACATTTTATTTATGTAAAATAATATTGCCTAAACAATTATTTTTTAAAACTTAGGTCTATTAACGTTTAAATCTGGCGCTTAAATGCATAAAGATTGTATGACAACACATGACACATGACTGCATCTGTCTGTGGTTATTGATCTGTGGAGTATAGCTCGTGTGTGTTCGAGCCGTTCGAGCAAGCACGAGAAAGGTATCGCAGATTGTTGCATCGGCCATGTGTAATGGTGTGTGCATCGTGGATCGTGGCCCGTGTGCATTCAGGATTATTGTTAAAAGTTAAAAGAGAAGGTCAGTGAAAAAAGTTATATCAGTATCAACACAGCATAAGGTATTTTTATATCTATATTATCCTTATTCTTTAATGATTTTATATCTTTTACATTCATAGGATGTTTCCTAAAATGTTCCCAGGTTCGTGAAATAGTATAAAATGGCAACACTCATAGAAAAATCATTGTGCCAAACCAAAATAATAACGAACAAGTTGGCCACATTTGGAGCAGTTGGATTTATATAAATTAATGTTTTGCCAATATTTCATGTATTTAAATTGTTTTTTTCTTTTTAATTATAATTATTTCATTTTCTAATTTTGTTTTATTAAGTGACCCACAGTTCCTATAGAAAAGTTACAAAGGAGTAACAATATCAAATGTAACGTCATGGTGACATCTCAAATAACTATAAAGAATAATGACAAATGTGACGTTATAAAAACGTCCTAATGACATTATAAAGACTACTAGGAAACGTCATAAACATATTTAGACATAAAAAGGACGTCTAAATATGCCGTCATTTGGGCTGTGACATATTCACGTCATTTTACCGTCATTATCACGTTAGTTTTCAGAGGATAAATGACGTCCTGTATGTCGAAAATAAGATGTCATAATGATGTCAGTCTGCTGCCTGGGATATCAGTTGATCCAGTAATATTAATATTGTTCTTGTTTAGATATGCTAAAAATGAAATTCTAAATAATCTTTGTTGTACTAAAGGTAGTACGTAATAAATTATCTTTCGACACAGACACTCAGTAAAATACAACAGCTATTTACTAAACCTCTTATCTGGTAAATTTGAATCAATATTTACCCAGAATGTATTAAGAGCTTTAACTAGTCCAGTGCCGGTAGTAGGAAGATTCACCATGCTTTTAGCTCAATTTATGTTGATATTTTACATTTATATTCACATTACATTTAATACATATAAAATGTATTTATATAATTTTCAATAGCCGAAAAATCCAAATTTAAACAATTTTTCGAGCTCTCAACCGATTTTGTATCGAAATGCTAAACGTAAATAGTCCTGACGTATAAAGGATTCTCATTTTCATACAATCTCATGTATATAGTTGATCTTTTTCTTTTCTATTTTTTAATTGATGAATTTCAACTATTAATTAAATTAAAAATTGCACAGGCATATTTAACAGCTACATCTTTATGTTTAAGTTCCACTCAGTCTTAAATATCTTCCCTATTACTGGGTTGGAGAGAAGGTACTCTATAAATGTTTCGTAAATCTGTTTGTTTTAAGCAAATTGTTTTGGGCTAATCTTACAACTTTGTTTCTATCTCTCCGTGACGTGTCAATTAATATACATTAAAAAATATAAGTTCTGCAATGATTTATATCTAGAAATTTATATCAATAACCAACTACTTTTATGAATAATTTCCTTTATTTAAATAAAAATAACTAAGAATTACCTCTAAAATAAATACGCGACAACTCTTTTAAAAATATGCACAAACAGGGTTGCCATATGTTCAATTAAACGGATGTCTCGCAATAAACAAAATTGTAATGAAGTAATGTTGATTTTCGGGCAGGCGCATGTATCCCTCAGATACATAGCAATTTTCTTTTCATTTGTACTACCGCGTTTAAAGAGCAAGATCTTTCCGCTCCTACCTACCTTCCTGGCTCCAGTGGTCCTATGTAACAGTTATGTCATGTGACTTCCACGTGGTCAGCCGTTTTGAGATACTGATATTTTGTATTTCACAGTTACAGATGACAGTTTATGTAAGTTACTTTTAATTCATATTTTTTTAGTTCATTTACGGTTTTTAAACGTTTGCTACTGATATATAAATATGCTTGCAATGTATTTTTCTTTTATCATTCTATATAATAAAATATGATGATAAGATACTATGGGTGGTATGATTGAACGTTTACGTTATCCGTAACGTACATGTTAGGCCGAGTTTTAACAGCAAAGAGACAAATTTGTATGATGTAAAGTCTTTCATAACATATTACTGTTATTTTCCGCCTGTTATGTTCTAATTTAACAGGTTTCCATCATACGAACTTGCCTCGTTACTTTTAAAATTCGGCCTAACATGTGCGTTACGGATAACGTAAACGTTCAATCATAGGACCCTATATGTATTTGATACATGCGCCTATATATGTTGTATTTATGTTTTAATTTTTTTGTAGGCATTAAAATGGCTTTAGGAAAAAAGAAACACGATCTAAACAACTAAAATAATTGTAAAGAGTAGAGAAATCTACTGGTTCTGATGTTTAATTTATTTTATACCAAAATATGATAGTGTATCTATGAGATACATGCGCGCCTGTTCATGTAACTTTATGAGCACGCCTGCCGGAAGGTTAATATATTCCTAGATAATTTCCGGATCTGTATTCCAATTTTTGTTTTACTTTATGGTTGCACCTTCTGTAGTAATTTTCTTCGATTTAAAATCAGATTTTGCTGGATAAAATGATTCTCGTTGCGTAAAACGTGTATACTTGGGAGAACAACGTATAAAAATAGCTTCCCGTGGGAAACTTCATAAAGGGAAGGTGTCAGTGGTGTTGTTTTATTAGAAAAATTATATATTCCATTAATTTTTATGGTGACACCGTCACAAATGTTGCGTTTGTTTGCAGTGCGTCATCGCTACAACTTCATCACTACGTCCGTCGGCAAAATCAGGCGGATACTAATTATCACAAGTTGATTGGTTCGCATTACAACTACACATTTCTGTGCAAGGCATGTTGTTTGCTAAACATTTACATGGTGGTGAACATCGATTTTTAATGCAGGAACATCTAATCAGTTGAAGAAGAGACTCTGGAGTACATGGTTCTTCACACATATCAGAGACAAGCACTCCCTCTTCCAAATATCAGTTGCGTCCAACTGGATTCGGGATGGCTGCATTTGACCACCGGACGATCTTGTAAATGGTGTTCGTGTATTACTTGTGGAAGGTTCATTCACAATCTCAATTGCTTTTTGTCCCTTTTTAAATTTGTTTTCCAGTCTTACTAATTGCCCCTTATGAGTGCATCGTTTGTAACATGATAAATGCCAACGACAATTTTGTTATGTTAGTATACTTGTATCACATAGTAACTCATATGAACATTCGAACTCTTTGTCTCCAAACTTCTTTCGTTTGGCAAGGGCTTCTAAAAGTGTTTCCGACGATTTTGATTTCGCAACAAGAGATTCTTGTTCCTTTTTTTGGCACAATACACAGAGGCTGTAGTCAATACTGCTCCTTTTTCTTTTTGATGGTGGTAACTGAACTTTTAATACTCCTTTCATTATAAACTTTCTATACAAGATATTTTGTTCTGAAAATATTTTTCCACGCACATCAAAGGCTACACTTTTATTCTATCCTGAAACAAAAGAAATAAAATTAAAAAGTCCTACATACTCAAAATATCTTTCAAAAACTGACACTAATGGCATAAAATAATCTGTTTTTAGCTTAAGTTGAAATATCATCGAAACTATCAATTTTTGGCAATGCATGCTGAGAATATTTTTTACAGCTAGTACAAATACCTTTTAATCAAACTTAATCAACTTTAATTAAAATAAAATAAATTGAAATCGGTTCAGCAGGGACCGAGATATGTCACTTGGTTCATAATGAAGCGGCGGCCATCTTGGACGACGTCATCATAGCCACACGCAACATCTGTGAAAGTGCCACAATCGAAATTATTGGAGTACATGTTTTTATCTATCGAATAGTACCACTAGTACCTTCGCTTCATTAACTTTCCCACGGGACCCACAATGCTTCCGTACTATTATCTTTGTTGTTTCCCCACTTCTAGGCTTCGATGCGCGTTTTTATCTTCTATTTTTGCTTCGTTTTACCGCTTTTTATTAGCCGTTTTATTTTATCTTGGGGAATATAATTGTCATACATTTCATATTTTCCGAATTTTAATTTAGTTTTTACTTTGTACCATGACTTTAAAAGAAAATTAGTTTTAATACTTTAAAATTAGTAAATCATTTTTAATTGAGAGTTAAAAATATCGTTGTAAAAATATTATTTTTTTTTTAAATAAAAAATACTTGAAAATAAATTTGGAATTATTATTTTGACTGCAATACATCCGTTCTATTTTCACTGTTGCATTTCCGTAAAATATATTTCCGAAATTTTCAAATTAACGTTTGAAATTTCCTTTTAAGAATGTGTCTAAGAGATATTTGTCTCCTGTGATTTTTCATCTCCTTCTGTAGCTGCCCAATTACTTTTGACGCTGCTTCGAGAGTTTGTGGAGTGAAGCTCTTCAAATAATCTTACGCCTGAGAGCCATCCGTAACAAGCCTCACTTGTAAGGAACCGTTTTATCTGAAGCGAGAAAACCCCTGATAAAATCCATGAAAATATAATTTAAACGCTAATTCAGGGCTCAAAATATTATTAAAGTGATATGTTATTGAATAAACTGGTACTTAAGGCTCTTGAACCTGAAATCGTTGCAAGCTTATGACAACATGGCAACAAGGCAACAAGGCAACAAGGCAACAAGGCAACAAGGCAACAAGGCAATAAGGCAACAAGGCAACAAGGCAACAAGGCAACAAGGCAACAAGGCAACAAGGCAACAAGGCAACAAGGCAACAAGGCAACAAGGCAACAAGGCAACAAGACAACATGACAATATGTAACGCTTATACTGTTTGTTTTGCATTCGATTGTGGAGTTTAGACCTTTTTATCAAGTGACCAATGTTATTGTAAACAAGGCCTTTCTAGCTATGGTGGAATGTTCAATTTGAGAAGTTATAGGGGAATGCCTTGAGTTTATGCCTTATGTTTCTCGCAAGTAACAGTTTGATATTTTATAAAAGCTAAAAAATGTTTACAGAACAAAATTAATAAAACGGAATATTACATAAGAACATTTCCGGAACATTCTTTCAACAGTAATCAACACAAAAAACAACGGCATAGTCGACACTACTACTCGGTGCATTTTGTGCACTGTACAAGCCCAGCATAATATTATCATTCAGCAGTACCGTAACTATATTTTGAGGAATGATATATGGGTCCGCTATACTGAATTTAGAGTGACGTCGTTTTATTTTCGTATACTTCTCAGAAAACCCTTCTAATTGATACCCATATCATGGGTTGCATAAAAAATAACTAATTCGACATGTTTTGGAGTCCGCCATATTGGATTTAGAATGACATTACTTAAAGGGAAAGCCGGCAATACTTTAGATGTTTTTAAATGACTCAAAGCTCATTTAACGCGGTTCTGTCGCGTGGTCGCACGCGGCTGAAAATTAGAAATGGCAAGCCCGCGATTTTCCTGCCGCACGCGGCCAGCGTTATCATGGATTCATATGGAGCATCACTCTTACAAACGTCAAGTCGCGTGCGAAACGCCAGTTGAAAGTTGGAGTTTCCTGTTAACTTCTCGACAGTTCCAGTGAAAAAATGTCCGACAGTTGTATTGGTATAGATGAATTTGTATCAGATATTCAAGATCGACCTCAACAGTTAATTGAAATAAAATAGTGAAAAAAATATTTGTTTGGGAATCTGCGCTATCAGTTCGTCAAATGACACGTCGTTTCAATTTTTTCCGCTGACGAACAAAATAAAACGACACCGTTACTACTTCTTCCACCTCTATTTTGATACTGAACGTCTGTGTCGCTGCTTATCGTCTGTTAAAAATCGCACCTAAAAAATCGCATGCGGCAGGTCGCGAGTGGGCGTTCCTTCTAAGCCCACTAGCGCGACACGTCGCGCGCGACGTGTCTCTAGGCCTCGCGCGCGGCAAGAATTCAGATGTTTTTAAATGACAAAAAGCCCATTACTGCAATTCTGTCGCGTGGTCGCACGCGGCAATAAAATAGGAACGACAAGTCCGCGATTATCTTGCCGCACGCGGCCAGTGGTACTATGGATACATTTGTATGTTTTTAAGATTTTTATTTCTTCGAAACAAGTGTTTAACACTTATAGATTTTTTACTTTATTTATGTATTTTTTAACTTTACGTACCTCTTTTACATGTATTCATTCATTGTAAAAAACATAAATAGAGTCTATTATTATTAATGGAGCATCACTCACTACAGACGTTCAGTCGTATGCGGCACGTCGATAGAGTTGGGGAGTGTTCGTGTGGGTTGTCCTACAGTTCCACAATTTTAAAATTACTTCCGATGATGTCAATGATTTAGATGCATTTATATACTGGGTGTTACATGACTGCTGAAATGACTTAAATACCATACCTTTGAACTCATTTTAAACAGAAAACGTTATATGAACAAATATCTAATTACGAGCTACAATCTTTCAAAGATCAGAAGATACATTAACGTAGTATGTCAAGTTTTTAACATTTTAGGTCGTTTGTTTATCAACAATTATGAACGTCTGTTGAATAGTCAGTCCTACACTTGTCAACTTCGTTTTTGTTTGTCAACATAGTGTATTTATGAATTTTGTGATGAAAATTCGCAAACGTGCCGAAAAGTTCTAAATCAGCAAATATTCATTGCTGTATTTCGACATATCTGAACAAATGTCATACTGCGTTAATTTATCTTCTTATCTTTGAACACTTGTAGCTTGGTAACCATGGAGAATTAGATATTTGTTCATAGGACATCTTTTGCTTGAAATGAACTCAGGAATATGCGCAATTTAACTGGACGTTCTATAAATAAATGATGAATTCAATATCTACGTTTCACTTTTTTTCCGATAACGAACATATTAAAAAACACCACTGTTAATTCTTCTATCTCTATTTTGTAATTGAAGGTCTTTGTCGCTGCTTGTCGTCTGTTTAAAGCCGCACTTAAAAAACCGCGTGCGGCAGGTCGCGTGAGTGGGTTTTCTGCCTTAGCTAAACATGCATTGTCATGTGTACGCAAACGTGTACGCAAAATTTAAGCTTAATCGGTTGGGGATAACCGTTTTAAAATTCAGTTGTAAGATTTGACCTAAAGAAACATTGCAAGTTTAATAAAACCTTGTAAAAATAGGTTCAAAATATTTAATAAAATATTATAAATTACTGAATTCGTTTAAAAAGTGTCTGAAAAATATATTGTACATCTACATTATTTACAAAGAGATCAATTTGTAATCATTTATAAGATGATACAATTTATGATTTTTATTCCTTTATTATATTTAATTTTTTTTATAATACTTTTTTATTTACTACCCTCATAAAAAAATTATCGTTACCTTGAACCGGCTCTGAATATTGACAGAGTTCGAGAGACGCGTGAATGATACTTAAAAGAAAATAATTGTTTATTTTATAAGAATACCATTGGCTGTATTTCACACCAAATTAATTAGAAAACCGTAAACGTAAATTTCACAGTCATTTAATTGTAATTTGGAACCTATAAATTTATTCGATCCGACTGGAATTTAAATATCTCTATCAATGAATTAAACAAAACAGAATAGGCTTTCAATCTGAAAATAATGAGGCTTTAGAAGTCATTATATTTGACAGGTGTCCAATTTTTCTACTCGGAATTAATTGTTGAAATATGTTCGGTCAGAGTCGTGTCTAGAAAATTTATCTTTTGGGTATTCAGGATAGGAATATCACAAAAAAATTAAATTCGTTAAAGAAATTCTCCGAGTAACAATTTGATATTTTATAAAAGCTGAAAATAAAATTTACAAAGCAGATTTCCAAAACTGTAATAAACGCAAAATGGCGCAGTATTACATAACTATTTAGTTTATTTGTTATGGTATATATAGAATGCAGTTACCGCCTACCGGATAGTTTCTTATAGACTTTGACAAAATGTTTTTATAACTGTTTATAATTTTTCAATTTTGAGGTTGTTGCTGTTACGTTTCCCCAAGGTTGGGGTTATAATGCAGCTCGTCTCACTTTAGATAAAGGGTACTAGCTCAATTAATTTTATAATATACAATAATCGGAGAGATACGGTCGTGGAAAGAAAAACAAAAGTAAGGTTTAACCTTTTAATACTCCAGCAATTAATAAAGTGGAACATATCTAGCAAATGTATTAAAATAGTTATTAAAATAACTATGTTGCCCGGTTGGTACTAATCGTTCATAAGGTAAGTACGAAGCGAATTAAATAATACTATAAATATTCCTAAATCTTATTCTACTAATTTATACAATAAACTTAAGTTATTTATCTATATTTTATTTTGTTATAGGCTCGAAAAGAAGCTAAATAAGTCATGAAAAAAACGGCCAACAAAAGTAAGGGTAGATAATATGCAATACCCACTTAAATTTTTTAAACTAAAACTATTCGATAGTTATAAAACGAAATAGCTAAATACAAATCCAATTTCTAAGGTTAAACAATAGCAGCTTTAATGTAATGAGGTAATAATACTAAATACTATGACTTATTTACAAGATGATGCTACTATGATAGTGATGTTATTAACTATATATAAGGTAATGTTATTAGCAATAATATATACACAAGGAAGCTAGGCGAGACTATAATAAAGCACAAGCAATGAAGTTTACAATGGAACGTTCTTACTTGTTCGTTTATCCTGATGACATACCAACCAGGGGTCGTTATCGTCAGTGTTAATGATCGGTCATTAAAAGTCTGAATTAACAAGTTAAGCAGGAAGATGTGATCAGTAGTATGGGTTACTTTCTCTAGTGGAACTGCTACCTCTAAGCGAAGCAGGAGCGGTACAAGAAGTTCTACAGAGTGAAAGGATAGAAAAAGAAAGGCCTAAAATAGAGGGAATAATCTACATATAAACTGAAGCATGGTTGGCAAGGAGTTACCATAGATGTTAGGTGGCCTTTGGAAGAAAAGTATTATTTCCTTAACTTTGTCCTTAACAAAGGTACTGCCAATAATGACAAATATACTTTCAAAGGTAAACTTTCTCACTTTTATTAACTAAATATCCGAATAAAATTCTTTTACTTTTAGGTACTACATGGATTAATAGAAAAAGGACAGAAGAGGAAGGAAGTTCTTCAACCAGAATGACCATCCAGGGCCAACAAAATACGATATTTTGGGTCCAGATGACCTTGGCCTTGAAATTATGTTATGTTATGTTGAGAATGGGGTATTAATACACTGCGACCTAAAAGATCTATTGTGTTCCCTTGTGTCGCCAATCCACCAGAGAAATGTCTCAATGCCAATAACGACCCTTCCTATTTTCTCAAGAAAGTGTAGGATTTGAAGTGGCTTCAAGTTAGGTAAATCTCCCTCTTCTATTTGATATCCTCCTAGATATAGTGCCCTTGGATTCTGGAGTGCTACACATTCAGTTAGGATGTAAATGAAAGTTTCGTCCTCCTCCTCACAGAATCTGCACTTACTATCCTCTACTACTCTCAGTTTACTTAGGTATCCTTTAGTCGGCAATGCCCGGTAAGGATCCCTGTTACAATACGTAGCCTGTTCTTGCTCAGGCAGATGCAGGCTTCCGATCTATTCTGGTTATATTCGCCCAGAAGTATCGTGGCCTGTCTCAGCCCCAACAGATTGGTCCAATTATCGGTTCTTTTACTGCACATTTCTTTTTTAATCTCTCCTATTATTAGGTTACTGCTGATACCGCAGAACGGCTCAGGTCCTACTAAGGGTGTTTGAGTCCCTTTCCTTGCAAGACTATCTGCAATCTCGTTACCCTTTACCCCGTTATGTCCTGAGACCCAAGTAAAAGTAACTCTATTTTTCTCGCCTAGCTTATTCAATTGTCCTAGGAATCTCCAGACCATTGAACTTAAATTTGAATAAATAAAAGTGAATATAGATTTTAGCAAATAAAAAGTACTTTAAGATTTGGACAATTGCAATTAGATTTATAAAAGAGGTTGGCAAGGTTGGCAATTTATGTCAAACTGTTTGTTTACACTGAGATACAGGTTATAGAAAATCAATACGTAATTTAAACAATCTTGTGTTTTCTTTTATCGACAAGTAAGCTTTATATTAAATGTATGTATCTGGCGAAAACAAAGTAATCTAGATTTTCGGTAAACGCTAAATACAAAGTGATGATATAAAATAGTACTAGCTACCTAGAGAGTTATCTTTAATGCGGTTTAGACATACTGTATTACCTACAATAGAGACGATTTTAGATGCAAATCAAATATAAGTGTTATTTATAAGGCATATACAATACCTAAGATTTTTTACGCGCCGCAAGTTTGATCCATAATTGTAATATTTTTATTAAAATTAAACTTACGTAAACAGCTTTTTTAAGATTAATATTGCTTATGATAACGTATCATGATACCAAAAAAAATCAGAGCAATGATAATTAGCCGACAAAATCTCGATCAGATCACGCGTGACGTAGTATAGTACAGAATATAGTACAGAATATAGTACAGAATATAGTACAGAATATAGTACAGAATATAGTACAGAATATAGTACAGAATATAGTACAGAATATAGTACAGAATATAGTACAGAATATAGTACAGAATATAGTACAGAATATAGTACAGAATATAGTACAGAATATAGTACAGAATATAGTACAGAATATAGTAGAGAATATAGTAGAAAATATAGTAGAGAATATAGTAGAGAATATAGTACATAATATAGTACAGAATATAGTACAGAATATAGTACAGAATATAGTACAGAATATAGTACAGAATATAGTACAGAATATAGTACAGAATATAGTACAGAATAAAGTACAGAATATAGTACAAAATATAGTACAGAATATAATTCATAATATGGTACAGATTAAAATTTTTAATTTAAGAGCGCTATTTTCGATCAGCTCATACCTCAAATTCGTAAAAGCCGCCCCTCTGTACCACAATACGTCACCGTGACGTATAGTATCAATTTTTATTGTCATGGTTTTGTATCACAAACTAATTCTTGGAGACATGCTACATATAAATATAGAAGATATAGATAAGTTGTCAATTTTGAAATAGTTTTTTGTAGTAAAAGTCAAATACAAGTTTCTTCTAATATTCTGCAAAGAACCACTTTCTGGCCGTTCACATTTAGTGTCGATGCTAGACCAGTCTGTTGATCCTACTAATTTAGCCCCCTCGCCCTTGACCCCTGCTAAGTTTCTACGCAACCAATGTAAAGTTGATGTGCCGAAATGCAATCTAATTAACCAGTCATCATGTTGCAAAATAAAAAACTAATCCAAATTTAGATACGATCTTCGGAAGACATTTAGAAACGAATATTTAGCTCATCTTCAGGCCCTTCAGAAGAAGAAAATATTGGAACAAAAATTACAGATTAGTGCCGTTGTTTTAAGCAGGCAATGACCACGATAAACGATTAGAATGGCCATTTGGTCAAATCCCAGTATTGACTGAGGCCGAGATAAAGAAGTTCGCACCAGGGTTCGTAGACAATAAAGTGGTCTCGTCTGGTTCGTAGGGACGAAAATGTGACGTTACAGAAAGAAAAATCAGACTCTACGAGAAAACAGCGCAGGACAAAATGGTGCAAAACAAAATAGCGCACAAAACACCGCAAAACAAAATAGCATAAGGACAAAATATCACAAGACAAAATAGCGTAAGGGCAAAATAGAGCAGGACAAAATAGCGTAGGACAAAATAGCGCTGGACATAATAGCGCGTGACAAAATATCCCTAAAAATCTAAATAAAATTAAAAAAAAAACGAATTTACCTAACCTGGACGGCCTGAAACAATCTCGGCTTGCTTCAAAAAATAAAAACAATATACCAACATAAAATTAGAAAAATAAAAAAACTTGGCTCCAGGCAGCACAGGTTGGGTAAATTAGTTGTTTTTTACTTTTAATTAGAATACTGAAATATTTTGTCAAGAGCTAAATTGTTTCGCTTCTTTTTAAAAAAAACTTGACTTATCTCTCATGTATTTTTATCGGCGCAAATTTGTCCCACGCGAAATTTTTTCGCGCTAAAATGAATTGGAGCCTAAAATGTATTAGAACATTCGCTGCATAGGCATCGCACATAATTATTTTTTTGCTTATTTGGTATCTAAACAACGTAAATAAATAAAATAAGTTATTTTTACAACAAATCTATATATTTTCTAAAAATAATTATATATTTACAAAAAAAATACAAAATTTTAGGTCGGCAAAAATTTTTTGTTGTTTCTTGACTTTCTTCGTCGCTCTCTGATGAACTTCCTGTTTTAATATGGGATTCTGCAGATACAAACATGGACAAGGTTACAGGAAAAAATGTATTTGCTTTCCTTTTTTTTACATTTCGCATACTACTGAGCACAGAATCTGAACTAAGCAGAAGGCGATTAAAAATGTCCTGATTACAGCTTTCCCTGGAAAATTTCTTCGCAAAATCTTGTCGGTATCTTCTAAAATATTTATTGCCAGCCTCAGCTGCTTCCTCGGAAAGCTGTCCGATTGGTAACAATGCCTTTTCAATAATGACTGCATTATGCACTAAAATCTTGTGCATTGTTGGCGTCATAGGATGCCAATCATACAACTTAACATAAAGTCGAGCAGTTTCTGAAGCATATCTTTCATAATTTACCGGATCAATTTCAAATCCGCTTGAAGTTGCTTCCAATATGACTTTTAGTCTGTATATTAGTTCATAGCTAATGCCAGTTATTTCTGCAGCTAATCTGGAATTCTCAAAGAACCTTCTGCTAGTATTTCCATCATTTGTATTCCCGAAATTGGATTTAGGCATATCTATTAGTGAACCTGTTTCAATGCGGAACCTTGTTTGTATCTCTCTTTTGGTTTGATCTTCTAGGTCTTTTTCCTCTTTCGATTTTCTTCCCCTATATTTTTTCACTTTAAGTTTATATGCTAAGTGTAGGATGGATTCAAATAATCGATTTCTAGCGTGTAACACAGATATGCCGAATTCAAGGGCTGTAAAATTCACTTCTCCAATTTATTAAAATCTTTCGAGGTTGCCCTACATATGTAGCACCTACTCGTAGACAGTGTGCTGCCTGTAGGTGCATTGCAGACCTTTCCATCTACCATAGTCATCATAAATTTGTACATGATTAACAACTTTTTCCCTCCTAGGTCGACCTCTGTTGGGACTAAAGAGGTAATAACGCTTTTGACGTGTGTTATTTCCTCTTCAGTTACATAATTAGTTTCCTTGATTAAACGGAATCTTATTGGTCGACAAAATCGCATCGAAGAAAGCGTTGGATTATTTTATAAAACTTTTTCATTTTTATCTCCAGAAACTAATTGAAGAGGCACAAAACAGCTTTGGAATATGCTTAAATCCGAATCAATGTCACTTTCTAGTTTTTGTTTGAACTGTGATTGTTGAGACCCATCGCAGCCCCATTTACTGATTATAGTTAGACAATCACGCTCTTTCTCCTTTAAAGGTATTAATACCTCTTCTAAGTACTCCGATAAACGCCTAACGGTAACATCCATTAGAGATTGTAACTGAGCTTCGGCACTGGTACTCGTTACCATTACCGATTCCTGAGGTGAGTAACATTTCTTTTTGGCTTTTTGTAATAATTTGATCTTCATTATAACCTTCACATGACAATAGTTGATCTTTTAGATAGTTTAATTTGGCATTTAAATTAGGCAAATTTTCTGTCTTCATGCGGTCATATAAGTATTGTCGGTTCACAACCCTTACTCCTGATGCACCCTCCAAACCTAAAACAAACATACACTATGTTAAAATCAGCTAATAAACATTTCCAATTTTATACGAAATTTTGCTAAATATTTTTAATTAATGCCTCAAAGCTGTATTTATCCGGACGTTTGCGGAGATGTTTTTGTTAGCATTTATAAAGAAAAGGATCATATAATAACCTATAATGATAACTATAGCTCGATCTACCCCGATACACAAACAATAGAATAAAAAAATATTTAAGGAAATCACTGTATGAAAATGAGCTTTTTTTGTTATAAAAAAATTATATTGTATAATGGATAATCATGAATTTATTAATGTAGTTTGGAAGCTTCTTACCTTGTCCATGAGAATCCATCTTTTTCAATTCGTAAGTAGAACTAAATAACGTAAAAATTCACTTTAGTAGTTTAACGTTTAGAAAAGCACCGAGAACAGATACGTACCCTAGGTAAAACGGTCAAATTATGAATGACGCTAGTGTTAGGGGTGCGAGATAGCAGGTAGGTGGGCATGGGTATTGTTCCCGGATTCGTTCTCTATTCGTGGAACTCGTTATTATGAATGTTATTGGGACTTTTGGCCGCGTAGATCGTGCAAATACCTGTATGTGCATCGCCGGAACGGAATTTGTTACGCATTATTTCAATTAATTGCATTTATTAAAAAAATATCTTGTTACGAGCTATTTTGTTCTTCTTTTATTTTGTCCTGTACTGTATTGTCCTACGCTATTTTGGCCTGTGCTATTTTGTCCTGTGCTATTTTCGTTTCGCCCGTTCCCGTTTCGTCCGTTGCACGAAAAATTCTCCTTTCGTCCTGTCGTTAAATTAAGATTATCAAGGGTACTTAAATATTCTCCTTTCGTCCGGTGATGTCAGGTAGGTAGGTAGGTAGGTAGGTAAAAAGAATATAAATTTTCCTTCACACTTTATCCAGGCTTAGGACTGGCAATTTATAAAATGAAATGTCTTAGCCTTTTATGTAATGCATACATTTTATATATTGGCGTGTTTAAAAATGTTTGCGCTTCAAATATGAGCTTGTCTGAAAAAATATATACATATATACAAAGTTTTATGCAGCATGCTGACTTGTAGTGATTAGTTTATTAGTATTTCACAATGTATGTCAATCGTCGCAGCGTTTCTGGAAAATCAATAGTTTCCTCAACATATTTGGTGATAGTGTTCTCGATCCTCCTATCCAAATCACAATATTTTTTGAGCCTTTTTGGTGTTGTCAACATTAGCTCATATTATTCAATAATTATCTTATAATGAATGGAGTTGTCATGTAGGATAGTAATTATCTCAAATATATTTGGAAGGATTTTTTTCCATTTTTTGTTCAGTCTACTATGCAAAGCTTCAGCGACGTTTGTGGTTCGATGGCGACTGCGGAAACACGCCCAATATCTTTGAGAGTTTAACCACTCTTTAACAAATTAATCGTTTAATTTAATTATCTTTTCCATATTTAGAGAGTTTTCCATAATTGTCAACCAACCTTCGTCAATTTGGTGGGGAGGTAAATGTGCCAGAGCAGCACACATTCTAAGAATGTCAATAGTCGAAGGAGAGAGAAAAACGCAGTCCTGTATTTGTCAATAGGCCGAGTAGGCCGCGGCCTAGGGGCGGCAGCGTCCTAGGGGCGGCAGAGTCCTAGGGGCGGCAGCGTCCTAGGGGCGGCAGATTTCAGAGGACGCTCACTCGATTTCAGATGATAAGTCATACAAGTTCACTGGTTTTCTCATGTTTTTTTTACTAATACGTTAAATCCCTATAGAAACTCATTCCTATCGAAAATTATCAATCCTAGGTACCTACTGTTATTGTACCTATTTTATCTATATTACGTCGATTTGGTGCAAGAATATGTGCATTTTCACAGTCACATTTCCTCTAATAAAACTGCAGAGTGTGCAGTGAAGCCTGTATTAAACTCACTACTCAGTCTCTCAACGTTTTTGAGAAATCAATCTGTGTGTAATGTTTACCCTAACTTGAATATAGCTCTCCGCATCGTACTTTCCACTCCGGCTATAAATTGTTCTTGGGAAAGGAGTTTTTCCTGTTCAAAACGCCTGAAAAATTATCAAAGGTCTTTATTGTCTAAAGAAAAAATGAATTCTTTAGCTGTTCTCTATAAAGAAACAAAGATAATGAACACCATAAACTATGATGATGATTTTGCTATTTAAAAGTCCCGTAAAAAATTGTAAAACTTGTTCCTTTTTTACGCTCTTTCTTAATGACTAATTCATTCGTTTATTTAACTTTAGTGCCTTACTTACTACAAATGGAAAATTATTATTTTAGAAAGGTACATGGAGCGGTGGAAATAAAGTGGCCTACTTTCATAAAAAATATACTGGAAGAACGTGTAATATTAAAGTACTACACTTCTACAGTTCCTGGACAACGAATACCTAGATTCTCTAAAGACAAAGCAATTTAGTAAAATCTTAGTTTTAAGCATGTGATCCCACGACAATAAAATCCCCCTGGGGTGATTAAAGTGGTAATAGGTTCCGAAATATCTCAAACTGTGTTATGAGCTGATAATTTAGCATAATAGCATTTATTAGAACTCAAATTATGTGATAAAATATTGAGAATAAAAAAAATATTTTTATCTTAACTAAATAAAAATCATTAATCACACAATATTGTTATACATTAATAACGAACACATTTTTTATTATAATTGGAATACAGGACTTAATAATAAACAAATAATTATTTAATGATTGAAATTGGTATTTAATTTGTTTAAAAAATATATTTAATATTATCACACATTTCCTATAATTACTTACTCATTACCTTCCTCATTACTTTTGTAAAGTAAAATCAAAAACATTGAACATACCTGTGCGTTATAATATAGTTATGAAAATTTCCAGTATTTTTTCCTGCAGGACCATAAGGATATACTTCGTATAGATAATGAAGAGGTTTAAGTAAGTTTTTAAACATAATATGACTTTTATTTTCTTATACATCAGATTTTTATTATCAATAATAATAATAATAATAATAATAATAATAATAATAATAATAATAATAATAATAATAATAATAATAATAATAATAATAATAATAATAATAATAATAATAATAATAATAATAATAATAATAATAATAATAATAATAATAATAATAATAATAATAATAATAATAATAATAATAATAATAATAATAATAATAATAATAATAATAATAATAATAATAATAATAATAATAATAATAATAATAATAATAATAATAATAATAATAATAATAATAATAATAATAATAATAATAATAATAATAATAATAATAATAATAATAATAATAATAATAATAATAATAATAATAATAATAATAATAATAATAATAATAATAATAATAATAATAATAATAATAATAATAATAATAATAATAATAATAATAATAATAATAATAATAATAATAATAATAATAATAATAATAATAATAATAATAATAATAATAATAATAATAATAATAATAATAATAATAATAATAATAATAATAATAATAATAATAATAATAATAATAATAATAATAATAATAATAATAATAATAATAATAATAATAATAATAATAATAATAATAATAATAATAATAATAATAATAATAATAATAATAATAATAATAATAATAATAATAATAATAATAATAATAATAATAATAATAATAATAATAATAATAATAATAATAATAATAATAATAATAATAATAATAATAATAATAATAATAATAATAATAATAATAATAATAATAATAATAATAATAATAATAATAATAATAATAATAATAATAATAATAATAATAATAATAATAATAATAATAATAATAATAATAATAATAATAATAATAATAATAATAATAATAATAATAATAATAATAATAATAATAATAATAATAATAATAATAATAATAATAATAATAATAATAATAATAATAATAATAATAATAATAATAATAATAATAATAATAATAATAATAATAATAATAATAATAATAATAATAATAATAATAATAATAATAATAATAATAATAATAATAATAATAATAATAATAATAATAATAATAATAATAATAATAATAATAATAATAATAATAATAATAATAATAATAATAATAATAATAATAATAATAATAATAATAATAATAATAATAATAATAATAATAATAATAATAATAATAATAATAATAATAATAATAATAATAATAATAATAATAATAATAATAATAATAATAATAATAATAATAATAATAATAATAATAATAATAATAATAATAATAATAATAATAATAATAATAATAATAATAATAATAATACCTACTCGACCATTCACTGTTGGGTTCTAATTAACAGTGCTGTTCCTAAAGTGGCGCTGGGAAACAGTAACAAAGCCTACACAGAACACGAGGCTAATGGCCGTGGTAGTCGACGCCGATGACACCAAATTAAAAAAAAAAAAAAAAAAAAAAAAAATAATAATAATAATAATAATAATAATAATAATAATAATAATAATAATAATAATAATAATAATAATAAATAATATTAATAAAAATAATAGTACACATTCTATTTCTGTAACATAATCTGTCGTTTTGTCTCTTTTACAAACATATTGTGCACACTATGAATGTTTTCCAAATGTATGTTAAAAAGAGTTTTTAATGTCTGCAATTGACTTTTCATTAATCTCACTGGTATTTTTTCTGTGGTAATTTACAATTGGCTTAATTCCTACTCGTAA